TAATCTCTTGAGAGTGTATTTTTAGAAAGTTTATGAAACTTTTAAACTTTTGTATACAACTTGTTTATTAAGTCACCTTGTTATATAAGTCAGTGTCCAAGTGTTTATTTATTTTAGGATAACTGGAAGTTTTGGGGCAAACATATTTTTCAGATAAAATTGTCTAGACACAGAGCATTTTTAAAATATTGTATCTACTACAGTAGTATATTAATGTAGCAATTTTTAGCACAATTTAAATTTACCCAGATGTTTATAATTTTTAAACTATGCTCAAGTGAATATTATTTATGATTTGATCCCGGATGTTTATTTATGGAACTTTCCATTATTTAAGCATGTAAGCTTATAATATAATGAAATTAATTAAATCCCTTTAATTAAATATAACGTTGTTTTTGAATTTTATTAATTATGAAGAATCTTGCGGTGTATTAGAAAAAAGTTTTCAATCATTCAATATATTGTGAGGAATTCCCTATACTTTTCCCGATTTTGCGATAATTTTATGTATTTTATCGCATGAAGCCAGATCTAGGATTCCCAATGAAAGTCATCCATTGATTTCTTAAATAATAAATATTTTTGTTAACAAATAAAACATCGATTGATTACAACTAACATAAGTTTTAATTATAATTCTTGATGGGGTAGTTCGTTGAGTATGTGCTATGCATGATAGCAGGGTACATGATTTTTTAAAGACACAAATGTTGTAAAATTATTTTTAAATCAATAGATTATACAGTATAAAATTATATTAAATTTTACACAGTTTATTTTAACCAATTTAAGATACACTATTTTAATTTAAAAATTCAATTTTCAACTAAACAATTAATTATTAGTGTTTAATTAGTTACTGATATCATCTTTGAAAGTACCGGCAAAATCTTTTTAAAAATTATTTATTATTGGAATGTAACTTATAATGGATTTACTTTTAAATCTAAAAAAGTTTTAATTAAATAAGTGGAAACTCTTGATCAAATTGTTTGTTCACCAAACATACACACTTTGTGAACGACTCAGGAACACTTGCCAATTAATATCAACTTTTTTATGAGTCTAATGTTCAGCACATTATCTGATTGCGAGAATATGTTCTGAAATTCATTGGGAAAAGTTTTGCATGTAATAAATGTTTGGAAATATTTTATATTTATTATAAATATTTACTTATATTTTTAATAATAAATAATTTTTTGCTCATTAATTGTAAGAATATACCACATATGCTATAAATTACTATAATTATATTGCGATACTAAAATATTGAATTGTATTTATGAAATATTAGTAATTTACTGTATAGTGAAAAGTTTGAATCTCATTGTTTAAAATAAAAACTGATAGGAATTTATTGTATAAATAAATATGAATATAGAATATTTAAAATTAGAAACAATGATTGAATTATTTATAATAATTATGCCAAACACAATTATTGGAAAAACAATTATTTCATTTTATCGTATTTAATACTGTAATTACTTTTATTGAATTTCACATATAATCTGTAAAGTACAGGGACATTTAGACAATAAGGTTCAAGATCGATTTAGTTTTATCATTATGACACTTCATATTAAAACAATGATTTAGTAGATCATTGTTTTAATCAATTTCTTATCAAAATCATGTGATTTATACTGTAATGTAGGGTATTATGTAATATAATTACAGTATATTCACACCTATGTAGGCGCTCTCTTAAGTTTGCCAATTAAATTAAATTCTACACATTTATCATTATTCTTTACATTGGTCAATTAATTGAATAATACCCCAAAATTAAAAACAAACAAAATATCAAATATAATATAAAATATCTAATTAGCACGGTGAGAATATTTAATATAAGTATTAATTTTTAGAGAATTTATAATTCATTGAAAAAATTTATTCATAAAAATTATATATTGTATGAGAGAATATTAAAATTCTCATTTAAAATTTTAATTTAACAAGGTATATTTATATATTCACTGCATCTATAATGAATATTCTAGCCATAACATTATTCCAGTGCTACAATCATATATAAATTTTCCGGAATTTCAAGAATATCACGAAAATGATCGCATAAACTGCTAAACACAGGGAGAAAATACATAGAATTCTATGGCGTTATTACTGCCAAACATAAGCGACAGTGAATTGAATGAAACGAAATGAAAAGCACAACAAATCTGTGATTCATAGACACAAAGCAGTCACCACTCGAGTGCCAAAAACGATTGCAAACACACATCCATTCACTCATTCACTCATTCACTCCATACATACACACAGACTGTGTTGTGCGTCAACAGTGATTGAACCAACACATCATCACCACTATCACCACAAACACGTCCAACAGGTCTAACACGTGCACCCGATCCCTGCACAGAGGAATGGCATCTTCGCAACCGAGACAGAACTTTGCGGCCGAAGTGGAGGCGTCTGTGAACAAGCAGATCAATCTGGAGCTGTACGCCTCCTACTGCTACCTGTCGATGGCCTACTACTTCGACAGGGATGATGTGGCACTTCCCGGCTTCTATAAGTTCTTCAGCAGACAGTCCGACGAGGAGAGGGGTCACGCCTCCCGTCTCATGAAGTACCAGAACAAGAGGGGCGGAAGGATTGTCCTCCAGAATGTCAATAAGCCATCGCTGGACGACTGGGGCAGTGGTATCGACGCCATGCAGGCGGCCCTACAGCTCGAGAAGACTGTCAATCAGTCGCTTCTCGATCTCCATAAGCTGGCCGGCAGTCATGGGGACGCACAGGTAGGTGTCGGGGTGTAGGCACTCACCTATGGACAGCCTTTTTATGGATCACATATCGTAGGGCATAGACTATCAATGCTTATTATTTACGGGGTTTATGTGTTGAGACAGTTATCTGTGCCTACCATCGATGGTAAGCTCCAGTATTAGTGGTCAAACCCCTGCCCCCATTCCCCTTATCTTAGAGCTTACAGTTGAAGTGATTTATTAATAGCTGTTTAGTATATTTGGGAAAATTTTATGGTTTTAAACAAACAAATGATAAGTTTTGTACACAATCGACGATATGTGCTATAAATGTATGTCCAATGAATTGATCGGTATTTATGACTGATATAACTGTTTATGTGTCGATTGGGAACAGATGTGTGACTTCTTGGAGAGCGAGTTCCTCACAGAACAGGTGGACTCCATAAAGCAGTTCTCGGATTACGTGACTAATTTGAAACGTGTTGGCTCTGGTCTCGGGGAGTATATGTTCGACAAGGAGACCCTCAAAGGGGCCACCGATTAGGACACCCACACCTCCCGTTCCACTCAACTGCCATTCAATCGCAACACTGCCATTGAATACTTAATAGCACGACGGAACCACTCAATGATTATTTTCTATACAAACCTTGAATTACATTCAAAACAACAAATCAAAGGCTTAACTATATCTCTAAATATCTCTCAATTATGTTTTGCTTTCAATTACTCTATGATTGTGTTCACACTTTATACGAAAATCTCTTATATTTCTCAATCTATTATTGAACTCGTTTTTTATACACTATTCAGAAATATCTAATAAGTATCAATATTTTTAATTATACACTATTTATAATAATAGTTTAGTCTTATATTATATACTGTACAGTATTACCATACTGGTACTATTGGGTTTACTGTTGACACTCATTATACAATTTAGACACCAAAGCGTGTCATATACTGTATTAGGAATTAATTAAACGGAAAATTTTTGTATTTCATTTATCCTTTTATATTAGCATTTGATGTCAATTTTGATGATCAGATAGTGTTTTAAAATTTTTGCCATATATTTCGTAATCTCTAGTAGTTTTTGTTCTTAATTTTTTAAAAAGCATTAGAATTTTGTATTATCCTAGTATTTGAAGTATAGATATACTGTATTACTTAAATATTGTTATGTTTTCTAATTTCTAAATGTTTTTCAATAAATTTTAATATTTTATACGAGATATGAAAATCGCTTTATTATTAAAATCGTTTCAAAATATATTTTTGTTAAATACATGATTAAAAAGAGGTTTGAGTTAAACATGATTTGATGATTATATAAGCGCTGATTAGGAACAGTAATCGACTGTTAATATGAATAATATATTCATGGGATGCAAACAATTGTGACAATCAATGATTACAATTGTATAATAAACTAAATTAAATTCAAAACAAAGTAATTACCGTAACGAGTGTACCGTAATGTAAAACTTAAGCACAAACTTAACTTAAGCTAAAACCAATTGCTAAAATAAATTAACTTTCATATAAAAACAAACATTATATCAAATGGAAATGCATTAATCAGAATCACAATTATAATTCACTAGCTTACAAATATTATAAAATGACACAATTTTGTTGAGCAAAATGTTATTGACCGTATATTAGACGTGTAATGATATAATAAGTGAAATCTATTGTTTCTTATACTGTAGTTAAAACTGATTATTGACTAAATGTAGAAAACATATTTTTAAAATTATTTAATCGTTTTGAACGCATAATTAATATAAACACATAAACACAAGAAATAAATGAGTTCTTAATTAACTATACTGTATGTCAGAGAGAGAGAGAGAGAGAGAGAGAGAGAGAGACCAGAGATCAATACCAAGAGGGGTAACGAATACCAGTGGCGTCCATAGCCTTAATAAACTGCTGTTCCGAGTGGTGACTGAGCACA